GCCCGAATGTTGAACTATGACTTGGTATTACTCGACCTAGGACCCAAAATTTGATTGTACGAGGCTTAGAACGCTTGATCAAACCCTTAAACGGCGTTAAAAGGTGATAAAATCGAGTTTAATATTGATATACTGATCAATTGTACAGGATAGAAGTTCCGGGTTGTCACCGTTACTTTGTCAGATGATCCATTCCTTCTCAGATGATCCGTTCCTTTGTCACATGCTCCATGAACCCCAAGTGCTCCATTGAGTTCCAAGTGCTCCAAATGCTCCATGAACATGATCTAAATGCTCCAAACGCTCAAGTCACATTTAACACATATGATAATAGATATGCAACAAAACTCTCTCATAATAATGTATTTTATGAAAGGACAAAACACATTGAAATATATGTACGTCTAGTAGGAGAAAAAAGTATCATTGAGGATTGTTAAAGTTGTTAAAACTTCTTTTGAAGAACAAATTAGTGACATTTTAAATATGACCTTAACATGACAATCACAGATATATCTTTGTTATAAGTTTGAAAATGTTAGATCCATTACAAAATTGAGATTGAGGGAGGGGTTGTTGAAAGATGTTATTTCTTCGATCTCATTTTTATAATGCATCGTCCTTATATGTTTAGAGCATTTACTTGGTCAATTTTGTGTAGGTCATTATATATATATATATATATATATATATATATATATATATAGTAATTTATACGAATCACCCCTCGTACATATGCCAAAATGCACCTTTGGTACCTATTTTAAAAAGTTAACTCAGACCGTTCCTGGTTAGTTTAAAACTACCACACTTCATCCATCCGCACATAAAAAGAGAAGTATGCCCTTATTTATTTCTTTTTTGATTTTTTTTCTATTTATTTGTTATTTATTAATTATTAATTGATTTATTTATTATAAAAAATAATTATTATTTCCTTTTGATAAAGAAAAAAGTCACTACATCTAATAACGCGTCCCCCTCCCGTCGGTCCCTTCTTCTTCTTCGATACATCTCATATCCAATTATCGACCATCACCAGACATCTTCGGTTTCAAACAGTGGCGATCGACTCCAAGGCATTGACCAACCTCAATCTCTGTTTCACTCTCGTCTTTTGTTTCTTCTATTCTGATCTCATACTTGCATCCTCATCATTCTTCTCTTCATCTTTCTTTCTCTCAAAGAAGACCACTACATCAAATCTAGGGTTTCGACCCTAGGCAGTGCACAAGTGAAGACGGCGATGGTGGCGCACAAGAGACGATCTGTGAACGATGGTGGAGCTCTGTCTAAAACCCTATACGGTGGTTTGAAACGCAGATGTCGATTCGAACGTAACCACATAATCTCCACATATTACCAACTGGATCGGGTGAATAAAACCACCACCACCAGCAACGGTTTTGTTATTGTCTTGCCTCCTTTGCCGCCTATATTCTTCCCGTCCCACTATCTATTTCATGTTTTCTAGAACCATTTGGGTTACAGGTTTCATATTTGGGAACCAAAATATGCAAATTGGGGTGGTTGGAGATGATGACAAGAGTAGGATTATAGGAAGGTGGAAGAATGCAGATCCGGTGGGTGAGGTAAGGGTAGAAGTGAAGGGTGGTGGGAGTGTAAAAACAGGATTATCCAACTCCAGTGGCCGAATTTTGACTTCACAGAGGAGGTGAGATTTTGAGATGAAGATAGAGAAACGAGAGGGAAGAGTTAGGGTATCTAGCTAAATAAGGGTGAGGGCGTGTAATGGTGAAGGGCAAGTTCGTTTTTTATATATTATAATGTATAAAAATAAACAATTCAAAAGAAATTCAAACATAAAATAAACAAGGGCAATATAGTCTGTTCAGATCTCGCAAGGGATGAAGCGTGCAAATTTAAACTAACGAGGAATAAACCGTACAACTTTTAACAAAATAAGGACTATCCGAGTTAATTTTTGAAAATATGAACAAACGTGTATTTTAACATATAAACGAGGGACGATTCAAATGTTTCTCACATCTATTGTGTGTTAAAATGCATCAATAATAATTTAGTAAAAACTAAATTATTATCTAATCAAATAAAGATATTATTAAATGATTTCCATAATTATATGTATATTAAATGATATCCATGATTATAATTTTTTTTATGGAAACTAATTAAATTTATCATTAATATCAGCAATAATATTCTTTCAAAATGAATTCACATCTAGGTTTTCATGTATGGATTCGTATTTTGTTTAATGACCCAGTCACTCAAATACAACAAAGTTGTCTGGAAATGGAGAACGAGAGTGTATTCTAGCAGAATGAGAGTTTATTCTAAAAGATTGAACCCATACATGGAACATGGAACATGCAACTTTGTTGTATTTTAAGTGAGTCGGTCCACAAACAAAACATGAACCATACATGAAAACCTAGATGCGAATTTATTCTGAAATAATGTTATTGCTGACATTAATGACAGATTTAATTAGTTTCAATAAAAAAGAATTATAATTATGGATATCATTAAATATACATACAGTTATGAATATCATTTAATATATATCTTTATTTAATTAAATAATTATTTAATTTACTAAATTTCTATTGATGCATTCTAACACAATAAATTTAAGAAACACATGAATATATATATATATATATATATATATATATATATATATATATATATATACATATATTCATTAGTTATATGCCCACACAATGCAGCGGGATTCAAATTTTGAAGGTCGACTGAATCCCTCGTAAAAATTTTATTTGTGCACTTTAATGTTCAATAAGATGGGAACTAATAGTTTGTTTGTTTGTTTTTTCGCAAATAGTTCCCTTTTAAGTGTTAGAATCTTTTCTACAGACATGATTCTTTTATTTAGCAAAGTAGTTTTCTTTCACATCCCAAATTCTTTTCAAAAGTATAAATTAATAACCAAATAGTAGTAAACCTAAGTATTTACTCTAATCGGAGGGGTGATATTCTTGATTTGAATTGGATATTAGTAGGATGTATATATGCATATAAATTGTTGTGGAAATAGTTACAAAATTTATTTTACAATTGCGTAATTAAAAAAATAGTATAATAAGCATGATATTTACTTTTTAATGAATGAATATTCATTTTACATGTATATGTATTTTTAGGTTTTATATTAGTTTAAAAGTATAATATAGTATCATGTATATGTATATCAATGCACGTCATTCAAACCTTTATTGTAAATAAGAATAAAAATTGCCAGCTAATAATATTGATCTCAAAATGATATAATTTATCATTCAAATTAGTTTTTTCAATTTACAAAGATGTTACAATCGAATTACGAAAAGAAATCAAATGATTCATTTGATTTAGTAATAAAATGTTATTTTGTTTTGATGAAATGAACAAAATCATTTGTTATTAGCTATTAACATGTTTACAACTTAAATGGAATTTAATAGAATAAACACTATATGTAAAAATAAGCAAACCATAAAAAAATATTTTGAACTAAAAACTTATTAAGCTTTATAAAAACATCTGATATATTTGCACAAATTTGTGTATCATGTTTATGCAACAAATTAAACACAATTTGTGATCAGAATTTATGTTAGTACCTTTAATACCAACGATTTAAATATAAATATGTAGACATTAAACATTTTTGGATATGTGAGAAGATTAATAATGAAGTAATGTATAAGGAGATTCATTTCAAATTTTGAATTAAATAAAAAAACTCCTAAATAATGACGTATAGTTTTTTTTTGTCCCGATTAAATTCAATAATAACTTTCCTTATTCCAGTTCATTTATTTATGGTAAAGATTGGTTGTTTATCCGTGCTTTGGTAATTTATACATCAAGATTTAAAATTTGTACCTCTTAAAATTCAAGAATTATCTAATATGTTTTATAATATAGTTAAGATATCGCTTGTGGGTTAGTTTTTGTTACTGGGCTAACATTAAAGAATTTGTGGGCTTCATTATCATGTATGTGGGCTCAGAGCTTGTTGATAAAATGCCCGAGTTGAAAGAGTTAATGATGAAAAGTGTTGGAAGTTAGAGGCTACAAAAGTGCAAAGTGCATAAGATGTTGGAACTATTTTTACCAAATACTGAAATGAATGGATCAAAAGGGGGCTGGATTCTCTATTTCCGGGCCGGGTGGGAGGCTCAAATAAAAACTACAAATATCGGTTTTCAACTAAGAACTTGTAACTACCGATTAGTTTTGCCAAACATGCATTTCTATCGGCCGGATATCCTGCCATATCGTAATATATGTAGTTAATAATTACCTTATATTTGACCTTTTGAGTTGAATCAAAATTTGGCCCCATAATATTCTTTTGGATACATAGAACCGTTGACAGAAGGAGGAAAACAGTGCATAAATTCCTTTTGGAAACTTATTGTACAAACCAAAATCTGAATGGGGATGATGACACTAGTCTATAAGGAGTTGTGGACAAATAAAAAGCCCAAACAAATGGATATGCAACAAGGCCATTAAATTCCATATCAATGGACAAAAATGGAAACTTTACAAGATTCTATAAATTAGAAATATTAGTTTGGATCGGCTTTACCTCCAATACTTTTTATGCTTATTTTTTAATTTAATAAATAGATAATGTATTAATATGATTACGAAGGTCATTATAAAAATGATGATCTAATTTGTTTCATAAAATAGTTCAAACGGTGGTAATATATATTTAAACGGTATGATTAATTTGACATATTTTGCTAGCAAAACTTTATGAAAATTACTAAAACTTTTAAAAAGTAAAAGATAATATTAATCAAATCGTCCCATTAAAAAGTTGTAAACATTTATACATTTCGACCGATTTTAATCCGCCATAGAGATTCAAAAAATGAAACCAAACCATAAGCAAGTATAATCTCTATATTGCCCCTGGGTTCCCAATACAATTTCCAATCATACCCTTCTTCTACACCTTATTTAAACCCGAATTGCCATTCCGTTAATAGATATAAAAAATGGGTTTAAACATAGAAGTGGAGGACAATTCGGGTCCGGGTCATGCTCAGCCAGAAACCACCACCATTTCTATATTAGTTCCGTCGGAAACAATGGGGACACAGCCACAGGAGCTACACGGCGTTTGTCTACCGCCGCAGAAAACTACTTTTCAGAAACTCCGGCACAAACTCTCGGAGATTTTCTTCCCTGACGATCCACTCCACGGATTAAAAAACCAAACACGCTTAAACAAAATCCTCTTCGCTCTTCACTTCGTCTTCCCAATCTTTCAGTGGGCACCTAATTATAATCTAACCCTCTTCCGCTCAGACGTCGTTTCTGGTCTCACAATTGCCAGCCTTGCCATACCTCAGGTATAGCATACACTATATATACATATATACATGCATGATAGATTGATACATTCCGAATTCATCATCATCTTCAGAATTACTAAATGAGTTGATTTTGCTTTTCAAATTGGTTTGCAGGGAATAAGTTATGCAAAGCTTGCAAATCTGCCTCCTGTAATTGGCCTCTGTAAGTTTTTATAATTTTTTTTTTTTTTTTTGAAATAGTGTATATAAATACATTTACTTACTAGTTAAATATGGAAATATGATCAGATTCAAGCTTTGTGCCGCCATTGATATATGCTGTACTTGGGAGTTCTAAACATCTAGCGGTCGGGCCGGTTTCCATAGCTTCAATGGTGATGGGAACAATGTTGAACGACGCCGTTTCTTACACCTTAAACCCAGTTCTCTACCTTAAATTGGCTTTCACTGCTACTTTCTTCGCTGGCCTCTTTCAAGCTTCTCTTGGCTTTCTCAGGTACCATTAATGTATTGATTCATCCATGATACATACAAATACGATACGATGCAACAATTCATCGTCTCTTTAAACAATAAACGATCAGATTATGATTATGATTTTGCATCTGATCACTATTCACTACGTAAACGCAAAATCAAACCAATACGCACATCTTACATATATGTTATCGAATTCCAGGGAATTGAGTAATGGATATATCTTAATCTACAGGTTAGGTTTTTTAATCGATTTTTTATCGAAGGCGACACTTGTTGGTTTCATGGCTGGGGCAGCTGTCATTGTCTCCATGCAACAACTCAAAGGGCTACTTGGGATTGTCAATTTCACTAGCAAAATGCAAATAATTCCCGTTTTATCGTCTGTTATCGAGCGAAGAGACGAGGTAACGAGTAAATAATCATTAATTGTTTGTTATATCAATTTCATGCAGTTATATTTCTAGAGGATCTCAAAACCCATATATATATATATATATATATATATATATATATATATATATATATATATATATATATATATATAAAGACAATTGTTTACGTCTGTTTATTGATGCAACCCAACGATAAATATTCAGAGGCTTATTGATTATTTTAAGTGATTGGACTTGTTTATGATATTTTTTTAGATTTTAAATTCAATTTTATATATAATTTCTTAATATTTAATTATTTATGCAGTGGTCTTGGCATGCTATTATGATGGGCTTTAGCTTTTTGGCATGTTTACTGACTACAAGGCAAATTGTAAGTAATACAATTAAATAAAAATATAATGTTACAAGAAGAATACCCTGTTTTTGCATTTTAACCCAAATTTTTATGCTCTGTTTCTAAATTCTTTTGATCAATGCAGGGATTGCGAAAACCAAAACTCTTTTGGATATCAGCAGCAGCTCCATTGACATTAGTTATTTTGTCAACTCTTATAGTCGCTCTTTTCAAATCAAAGCTTCATAACATTGCAACTGTAAGCTTATATTTTACAAAATTAGTACCTGTAGTTTACATTTTAACACGGAGCTCCATAACTTTTAAGTTTCTTCACAGATTGGTCAGTTAAAGAAGGGTTTGAATCCATCCTCGTTAGACATGCTCTATTTTCATGGAGAATTTCTAGCTGTTGCAGTCAAAACCGGCGCTGTTACTGGCCTATTATCCCTTACAGTAGGTTTCCTATACAATTTTCAACCCTAAAAATGACTTGATATAAATAAATCAATCGAACCTATGCCACGAATGCTTTAATTTGATAGTTTCTACTCCGAAATTGGAATCCTACTTGATGCATTGTCGAGTTGTACTGTACATCAATTGGAATGAATCCATGATCGATTCATTATGTTCATTTTAATTTGTAGGAAGGGATTGCAGTTGGAAGAACGTTCGCATCGTTTAAGAACTACCAAGTCGATGGAAACAAAGAAATGATAGCGATCGGACTTATGAACATGGCCGGTTCTTGCTCCTCTTGTTATGTCACTACAGGTTCGATTTAAGAATTGAATATGAAAATGGAATCCAATTCAATTCCATTTCCTGAAAAACAACACAGGAATGGAATTCAACTACATTCCAATTCCTGTTCCTACTAGATTCAAATTTCTTCATATTTCAATCCCATTGACAGATTCCAATTTGTAGGGTCGTTTTCCCGATCAGCTGTGAATGAAAATGCAGGGGGGCAAACAGCAATGTCCAACATTGTAATGGCATTAACAGTACTTGTAACACTCTTGTTCTTGATGCCCCTCTTTAGATACACCCCAGATCTAATATTGGCTGCAATCATTGTCACTGCTGTGATTGGACTAATGGATTATCAAAGTGCATTTCGTCTTTGGAAAGTTGATAAACTCGATTTTGTAGCATGCTTATCGTCCTTCTTAGGTGTTCTATTCGTCTCAGTCCCTGTTGGCCTTGCAGTCGCGGTAATCTTTCCAATATTCTTCAATAAAACAATCAGTCTGTTATGAGAGTTTCAATTCTAGTATGAACTAAACCATTTTAGAAGTTGTTGGAAGGATAACATTAGATTTTCAAAATATATCGCTTTTTTCTAATAATTGTTTTATGGGTTTATTGTAGGTGGGAGTTTCGGTATTTAAAATATTGTTACACGTGACACGACCAAATACGGGTGTCCTAGGAAATATTCCGGGCACCCAAATCTATCAAGATCTTGATCGATATAGAGAAGCTCGAAGGGTGCCTTCGTTTTTTATACTTGGTATTGAGGCTCCAATCTACTTTGCTAATTCGACTTATCTACAAGAAAGGTTAGTTACATAAAATCTAAAATGTAATACAATGTTTGTAATATACATATACAAATAAATAATAAATATGAAACGCCAAAATAATGTTGCAGGATGTTGAGATGGTTAAGGGAGGAGGAAGATTGGATTGCGGCAAACAATGGCAGTACTCTAAAGTGTGTCATCATAGACATGACTGGTATGTTATCATTGAAGACTCAAAGTGTCCGATTTCGATTCTATTTTATATACAAATTATAAGTTCCCCAAGTTTATATATTGTATTTAACTTAATGTGTTTACTGGATAAAATCATAAAACTAATAAATTTAGTTAAAAAAATAGGTTAGACCCTACAAAAATCGGTTAAAGTATACAAGATTCTAAAATGTTATATTCAGAACAGTTGGATTATTGAATTATTTATAGTTTTGTAATCATATTTAATGTTTGTAAAACTTAAACAAATTAAAAAAGATGGATAAAAATAAGAATTGATGGTTCGATCCAACTCTTTTAGTTTGACTCTTAAAAGTGGATATTTTTAGAATATAACCGGTTTATACGAAAAAATGCTGAGTTATACTTATGGCGAACGAGTAAAAAATAACAAATGACATGGTTAAAAATTGTTTACACTTTACATCATATTCTGTAGGTTTGAACAAAATAAACAACTTGCTTGAAAATAAAGCAAGGGTTAGAACAAAATAATGAAAAACGGATATATGGAGGAGAAGAAAGGATTGCTTAAAAGTTAAACTTTTCTCTTATAATCAAAACGAAAACAACTACAACTATATATGGGCAAACAGAAAAGACGTTACATTCCAAGACTTGTTAACCAAGTAAAACTTCCTAGTTTGACTAAACTACTAACTTTCCTTATACACTTAAGGTTGTTGTAACAATATTTCATATAATTTTGACCTTCTACCAATCTGATCTAACACATTTTTATATGCTCTAAAAATTAGTGTGCTTTGGAATGGTATTTACACCAAATCTCTCCGATTACTTTCATTTTATGACATAGTCAGAATTTTTGTCCGATTTATTTGTTTTAATTTTCTGCTTATTTTGTAATAACAATAAATTTCTCCATGTGAATTGCATGTAACCTCTTAAGCTGTGACGGCCATGGACACAAGCGGCCTTGCCATGGTGAACGAGCTCAAAAGGATGTTAGAAAAGGCGATCCCTTCAGGTTAGTTTTATTTATTTATATCGGGTAGTATTGTACAACCTAGTGGAGCATTGTTGTCCGTATATAATATATAGTTATATACAAACAAAAAAAATAACAAATTCCATTGTTTAATTTGGAAATATAGCTTGTGTTGACAAATCCAGTAGGAAGTGTGATGGAAAAGCTACACAAATCGAACAGTTTGAAGTCGTTTGGGTCGGACGGATTGTATATCACTGTTGGTGAAGCCGTGGCCCATGTCTCGTCATCGTGGAAAGCTCAATTGTGAATTTAAACCGTAAAAAGAAGTCTTAATTGTTTAGTTTTATTTACCATTAAAATTACATGGTTAGCGTAGATATCACAAATAAGTTGTGAAAAAATTGATTCAAGCCAAAACAATAAATATAAAATAATCGATACATTATCTCATTTTTGTCGCTCTTAATTAAATCATCTCATGTAATAATACATATGGGGAAGTTGAATTAAAGATTCATAGTTCATGACTTTATGCCTTGATTTTTATATCTTGATTACTTGATTGGTCCAATACTGCAAATCTCAACAACGGTTTGGATTGGACCGGGCCAAAACAAAAAAAGAAAAAATTCTTTGCGTGATCCTTAATTTATTAAGACACTGGCTTTTTATATAACAGATTTTTTATTCTTTCAAACTATTTTCACATTAAAATTGAAATTGATAATATGTTCAAACGATATATATATATATATATATATATATATATATATATATATATATATATATATATATATATATATATATATATATATATATATATATATATATATATATATAGGAATGATCATTTGAGAACTCATAGTTTCCCGAGAACCCGATAACCGATTGTGAGCCGTTAGATTAAAATAATAAAAGGCTAGGATGCTCAGTGGCGTTTTTGTAAATAAATGGGAAAATTAAACACGGGGGTATGGTTCTGAAATTAATCGAAGGGCATTTATGGTACTGAAGAGATTATCCCCCAAATCAATCGATGTCGCTCTCAAATCTCTCATCGTCTTTGTCCGTCATCCCTCTTTCTCTTACAACTTCATCGTCGATCCTTCCCCAATCCATAACCATCGCCTAACATCTATGGTTTCCTCCGTCAAATGTCTCCGCTATTCATTGAATCGGGTAAGGTGAAGACTACTAATCCATGGTCCTTATCCTCCGTATCATCGATGGTGAATCCACGAGCTAAGAGATCGATGTCATTAGTTTTCATCTTCAATTGCGACAATAGATTGCCAAATACTTGAATATTCTATGATGGATCTTTGATAGCCGAAGTATGTGTAATCACATCGTACAGAAAGAGATCCTCACTGAAGATCAGACTCACACACATGCGCTGAAGATCGATGAAGGACCACAGTTATTGTCGATTTTCAACAAAATCATCGCCGATTTCAATGAAATCACCATCGATTTCTAGCACAGGTGATCAAAATCACACACATAAAGTCAATTATTGCTCATCGCAACTCAGGTAAGTTCAATTAGTATTCCTAGTTTTATGAATTTGAACTTTTGATTTTGCAGTTCTTGGTTGCGATTATGAACGACACACCGATTTGCCTCGCCGTGTCGGAGCAATTACTCTGCATCACGAGCAACACCTTTGTCAATCCATTGTTCCTCATTGCAGATTCCTGAGCCATTCGATCTCTTGACATGTAACACGAGCTCCAGATCACTCCAATTCCGTGATCTGTCACCGCCGGTGATACTTTCATCAGCCGGTGTACGACCGCCGTTACACAGTTCTCGTCTTCAGAAATCGTCGTCCGTCCTTCGGTACATGTCGACACCATCTCTAGTATCTTCTTCACTTTTTCAATCACTGAAACTGTATTTTTGGACCGGAGAGGATTTTACCCGGTGGTTCTCACGATCCCCTGGCAGACGAGTTCCTTTTTCGATTGGTGAAATGTGTTAATCTAGACTCGAATTAGCCTTCTAAGGTACATCTTAATGCCTCCTCTGTATATATTCAATCAAATTTTGTTCATCATTAAGCCCAATGCCAAAGTGATAGGTTTTAGTTAGTCCGTTTGATTTGAACTATTGTGTTTCTATGCCTCTGCAAATTGCTGATTAAGATACTTATTCATTCGATTTCAAGAACAGAAAGTGGTGATTACCTCAAGTGATTTTCATACTTAAAAAAAACTTAATTACCTCAAGTGCTTCATCCAGCTTCATCAAGTACTCCTCTGTTGTGATTCGACTCTGTTGACAGCATAATAAAATTGTGTAAATCCCATAATAAGCACAAATAACAGAATTTATAGAACAAATAATCAACTTACAGGAACTTCAACTGGCTGATCAATGTATCTCCTGACCTTATAATCCTAATAAAAAAATAAAATGGAAATATAATTAATTTAAGTTCAAACTTGAAGTTTAAGTTATATGATTTAGAAGAAGGCAACTCACAAGTTCCTGTAAACATCAACAGGGATTTGCTCAATTTAGTTCTTGCTATCTCTTTTGCAAAAGAACAAGATCAGATTCTTTCAAGGTATTCTTTAAAATTGTTTTAATAGAACTTATTGTATATGGTGCTTACTATTGTTTTGGTTTATTTGCTTTGAATGTAGCAACATAGCTGGGTTTATTTGGATCACTGATATTGATATTCCAAGGTTTGTGTAACATCCCGAAATTCAGGTACAACTATTTAACCCTTCTCTTTTGTCAAGTTGTCAAGAGTAGCCCTTGAGTGGAAATTGTAGCAAATTAGTACGCTGCGCGTACTTATGCGCTTATTTTGGACGCGGACTCGCCTAGGTACGCTGGGCGTACCCAGGGTTACGCTGGGCGTAGTTGGCCCAGGTGCAAAACCCTAATTGTGGCTTGAGGGCTCTAAAAGGAATGAGATGGTCTTGTCCCCAGCCACCATCCCTCAGAGAGAAACCCTAGAAGAGCAACTTTATCGTTCTAAAGCTAGTGTGTGTATTCTTGAGCAAGAAAGTGCCTTTGTGTGTTAGTAAAGAAGAAGAGGAGGTTCTTGTGGAGGCTAGAAGTTGGAGTACAAGCTTGGATCTGAGTTCTGAGCTTCACTTGGAGGTATAAAGCTCAAAGCTTTCCTTGTTATTTTTGGTTTGTGCTTTATGGACCATTTCTAGGGTTAAAGTCCCAAAGGTGGAGACTTTATGAGCATAAAGGACTCCATGGACCTAGATCTGTCCCATTTCAATGATATTCGTGTTATAGATCCATAAAGTTTCCATCTTGGTCGTTGATATGAGGTCATGCTTGTATTATGAGCTTTCTAGAATTGGGTAATGGAATGTTATGGGTGTTAGTGACTTGTCCAGCCATGCAAAGGCTTAAAGTCACCAACTTTATGGATTAAGAGGCTTAGAAATGGTCAGATCTAAAAGTTGGACGTGGGTCTTAACTGTTTAAGACCTCAAGAGCTAAGGAGTCTGAAACTGGGAGTTACGCTGGGCGTAATCCCAGTACGCGCGGCGTAGGGGGTCGCGTTCCCCATTTCTGTGAGGTCGCCGGGTACGCCCAGCGTACAGGCTTGGTACGCGCAGCGTAACCCGGAGAGTTGACTTTTGTTGACTTTTAGGGTTTGGTCAACAATTGGACTTTTGGGACCATTGAGGGGTAAAATGGTCTTTTAACCTTCTGAGAGGACATAGGAAGGGATTAGTCTAGCCTTGAGAGCCGTTTATGATTTGAAATAATTGCTTTATGTGATTAGGCGGGGCTAGGTCGTTGTTTCGAGATTCAGGGATATCGAGCACGTGAGTTACTAGACATCATACGAGGTGAGTCTTCTCACTATACTGTACCTGGAAGGGTACTTATGTGTGACCGGAAGGTCTTGTATGCTATGATGTATGTGCTATATGCGGTTATGTGATATGTATATGCTATGTATGATTATGTATGATATGGACCGGAAGGTCAAGAGGTTACGGACCGGAAGGTCGATAGGGGTAGGACCGGAAGGTGTACCGGGATTTGGGACGAGAGTCCCCTGAGACACATGGATCGGAAGATCCTACAGAGTTGTAGCCTGGAAAGGCGTATGTGTGGCATGTGGTATTTTGGGGAACTCGCTAAGCATTTATGCTTACAGTTGTTATGAAATGTGTTTCAGGTACTAGCGAGGACCGTGGGAAGGCGCCGGCATGATCCGTACACACTTATGGAGTTTATGTTATTGAGATTCTGGGACATGTTTTTGTTATGACACAGTGACACATTATGTTTTGTGATTATCATGTGAATGAAAGTATGATTTAAAAATGAAAAATTGTTTTGAAAATTTACGTTGTTACAAGTTGGTATCAGAGCCTTGGTTTGAGGGATTCGGGTGCATCTTCGGATGAATCTGAACTCAAACTGAGGAATCAAGGAAGTTTTTCATAAAATAAACAATTTTTCTAAAAGAGTAAAAGATTTTGAGAAAGACAGAAGGAAGCGGTGTGTACGATCAGTCAGCGCCCGAACGGTGATTTCCCAAAATACCCTTACATTATGTGTTATGAGACATGTTATGATATGATATGCATGCTAGAGTTGGCTAGGTATTCATATTAGGACTAGAGTGGCCTGATTTTGTGATGCCTTAGCCTAGGAAGGATTTTGCTGCTATGTGATGCTTGAGAGCGAGTAGGTAGCAGTGAGGAGCTGATGAGAGGTCTACCGAAGGGTAGCCTATGCCAGTGAGATATAGAGTACTTATGATTTGGGATCCAAGGAGGAGGACTTAGGGTGAATACTGATGCGGTGTGGACGGTAGTATAGGGCCCGTACTACTGAAGACACCGGAGCAGTGCGCACTCTAAGTAAGAATCCATTGGGTACCAAGGAACAAGTAGGGTTGAGTTATCGAGTGCGAGTATGCTCGAGCGAGTCTCTGATATTCTTATGTTGTATTTCAGAGACATCACAGTTGGGACACGCCACAGACCTGAGTTGAGCGGCGTGAGTGACGAGGAGCTTCGTCAGATGATCCACGATGAGGTGGCGGCGGCGATCAGGGCCGAGATTCCGGAGATGTTTTGGGTCTATTAAGACCACACTGATTGAGACTTTCGATGAGCGGTACGCCGCGGTGACTGAGGCTGCTGCTGCTGCAGCTACTGCAGCGGTGGCTGCTGCCAGACCTCAGGGAGGTGACTCGTTGTTGCTTCGAGAGTTCAGCAACACGAAGCCACCAGAGTTTGATGGGACGCAGGATCCAATCGCTG